GTTTTCTTTTGCAACACTCATTAGGTGGATTTTTTTCCAGATGTTTGTTTCAAAGTCCTGAATGCTTACTCTTCTAATCATCATCCTATTGTGGTTTTGATGGTAAATTCTTATAAAGTGTATTATAGATTTATGTATAAGAATTATTAGAACTATTGCCCTGATTTCCTAACTATTGTGAATAGTACTTAGAATATTCCTCCTAAAGGGGATCTTATTTTTTCTATTTCTAGTAAACTCTGTTAAACTAAAGGGGATCTTATTTTTTCTATTTCTAGTAAACTCTATAATGTTAAACTGGCTTTTAAGGGTTGGCATTGGAAATTTTCTATTGTTTTATCTAATTACATTACTGATCTTAAGGATCAACAAAATAAGATTATAGTTTAGCTTTGAAATTTTCCTCTTTCTAATAATCATTTGGATCAAGCATCTCCTCTTTATAATAATTGCTATTGGTTATCTAATGGGGAGGATGAATTAAATTCTTGTTTCAAAAAGCTTAAATTCAACATAATTTTAATTTTTATTAAGGAGGTTTTTGTTAATAGTTAATATGTTCATAATCATGAGGATATTGTTAGTAAAACAATTTCTTTATATTGTAACCTTTTTAATGGTCATGTTAATAATTAAGATAATTTTGGTGATGTTTTCCTATTAATCATTGTCTCTAAAGATAATATTTTTTTTATTGAGTTACAATTTATCTAATGAATATATAAATAATGCTTTTGTTTTTATTGGCTTTAATAAAGCTCTTGGTCAAGATGGTTTTACTTCTAAAATTTTCTAAGATGCTTGAGATATTATTGGTAAAGATTGCATTTCAATCTTTAATCATTTTTTTCTTACTTATAAACTTCCCCATGTGGTAAAGTGTTTTGTTATTGTGCATGTAACTAAAAGTATTGATGCTAATCTTTTCTGCCCATCTTCTTATTTTCTTATGTAATACTGTTTATAAATTTATTTATTTATTTTTGGCTAATAAAATTAAATATATTCTTCCTAAAATCATTCATCCTACCCAATCTGTTTTTATTAATGGTTAAGATATTACTGACAATATTATTTTAACTAATAAACTACTTTATGGCTTTAATTCTTACAATACTATTAAGATATGTTGTGCTCAAATTAATATTCATTAAGCATTTGACAAAGTTAACAGAGATTTATAGTATAAAAAGTTACAAAGGATTGGTTCCCCTAGTGAATCCATTTATTAGATTACTACTTGTACTGCTGATATTTATTTCTCTATTATTATCAATAGTGATTTAAAGAATATTTTTCTTCTTCTTTGAGTTTATGACAAGGTTGTGAAATTTCCTCTTATCTTCTTATAACTATTATGGATTCTCTTTCTATTTGCTTGATAATCAGTTAGCTAGGACGACTTATATTAATTCAATAAATCATTTCACTTATGCTGAATATTTTTTTTAGTCAGGCTGATTCTAATCATATTAATTTTAATTGCAATTTGTTTAGCAATTTTTCTAAAGCTTTTAATCTTCATATTATTTTTTCTAACTTTTTCATTACTTTTTTTATAAAAGAATTGATAATAATCTTCAACATTTAATTTGTAATTTACATGGCTTTTCTATCAAATATTTTTGTTGGGATTACATTGGTGTCATCATTAAACCCTCTAAGTTGGTTAGTTTTGATTATCATAAGATTTTTGATAAAATTCATTCTTAGCTTGTTGGTTGAAAGAAAAAGATATTATATGTTGTTAGTAGATTTTAACTTATTAAATTTACTATTTGGTGTTATTTATGTTATTGATTATGTTTTCTCTTATTACCTAAAGGTTTGAGGAAGAATATCTCTTCTTTGATCTACAATTTTTTTTCTTAATATTGATGATAATAATAAGCTTCATACTATTTCTTAGAATAAAGTTACTCTGACTAAGCAATTTGGTGCTTTAGGTCTTCCTTCTCTTGATTTTGTTATTATCATGTGCAAAGTCAAAAATATTTGAAAATCTTATCTTTCAATCTTATTTGAGGAGTTAGTTTTTTAATCATTATGGTTCTTTATGGTGTAGCATTAATTCTACGTCTTCTCTTTTTGGAATGATTTTATCAGAATTGCTATAAAGTTCAAAAATGCTTTAAGTGTACATTTTACTAAATATTATCATATGTTATTTTATTTTGATCATTGGTTTGAGGTGGTTTCTCTTGTAGATAAATTCGACAATTCTCTTTTCACGTGGTTTAATTTTCCTCTTAATTTGAAGCTTATGTATATAATTTATAATGATTGTTGGAATTTTGCTTCAAATCACAATGATCCTACTTTTTACATTGATGCTATTAGCAAGATTTCTATTACCAATGATATTACTTGTTCTTGAAATAATGATTCTAATTAATCTCATAAAGATATTTTTCTTTTTTATGTCACTTTTTCTCCTATCAATTCGTTTAAGCTGGTTCGGTTTAAATATTTTTCTTTAAATATGTTCTTCATATTTGAAAAGTTATTATGAAAGGGCTCAAACCGATGATATGTTTTCTTTAAGAGGAATGCATGTTAATTCTACTTATGTTTTATTTATGAATACTCTTGAAACTCAAGATCATCTATGTTTTAAAGGTTTTTATTCTCACCTGCTTCTTGAAAGATGTTTACTCATTGATAATTATTTTAGAGCACCTAGTATTATTTTTCAAGTTATATATCACTCTGAAAATTTAGCTTGCAAATTTCTATGTGTTTTTATCATTTAGTTTTGCAAATTGTTACTTATGTGATTTAGTACGAGAGAAATTTCATGATTTTCAGAAATCATCATACTTATGTTGATTCTAATATTCATTATATTCATTGGTTGATCATCTTTGCAGGAATGAAAGTTTAAAAATGGTATTCCATTCTATTAGACAATTATATAATTTTTAACTTTTCTTATTTTCTCTATTTACGACTTTTTCGATGGAGCCTTGTTTGTTGCTCTTGAATAAATGATTTGTTTTTTCTATTATTTGTTGGCTGGAGTAACTCTCTCAGCTATATTTCAACGTGTTTTAGACTTTTGGTTTGTAGCTGAGCTTATTGTTCTGGAATTGTGGTTCATTTGGATGAATCCCATTATTATATTAAATTTTAATATTCTTTTTGAATATTTATATTCATTAGTTCATCGATGAAAATTTAATATTTATGTAGGTAACCATTGTTTGTTGCTTGATTAGCAGTTATTTTCTCAAGGTTTTTTTAGGTGTTTTTTTTTGTTTTGCTTGATTTGTTTCTATATTAGCATAACTTTTTTCTATTTTTGGTTTCTGCGATTGGTTGGTGTTGAGGTATTTTGCTTTGTGCTCTTGATTAGGATTTTTTCTTTATTTTCTATTTTACTTTAGTTTTTCGTCTTTGCTTCTTGTTAGTGGTCTGATTCTTGGAACTATTTCTTAGCTATTTGGTTAGTCCTTGCTCTTCTATTTTGATTTGTGGTAGTTTCTTATTTTCTTTTTCAAATATCTCTGATTTAGGTCAGATTTATACTTGATTTTCTCTCATAAATTTGATTTGATCGAGCTATAATGAATTCCAACAATATATTAAAATTTAACTATTCTTTTGAATATTTATATTCATTAGTTTATTGATGAAAATTTAATATTTCTAAAGGTAAGTTCCGAGTTAATTTGCCATTTATTTAAATTATTTCTTTTATTTTTTTTGTTCTTCTTTGTTTTGTTTGTGTTTTTGTTTCTCTTTTTTTTTTTTTTGTATTTTGCAGGTTGTAGATCATGTTGAATTTGTTTAGAAAATTTTAGTTGGTGATTTTTGGATTGTGACTTGGGTGATCCTACAACTATTCGCTGAGCTTCGTCTGACTGTTTGTGATTTTAGTGTTTTCTTTTTTCTAGTATTTTGTTGTGTTAGCATTTGCGTTGTGGATGATGTTGGTTTGGTTTTGTGCTGCGTTGTGATTTTTTTTTTGGTCATTATAATTTTTTTATTGATTAAAATTTTGTGGTTTGGTTTTGTGCTGCGTTGTGATTTTTTTTTTTTGGTCATTATAATTTTTTATTGATTAAAATTTTGTCTGATCCTCATCTTTTTAAAGAAAAAATAATTACAAATTTAATTGCACTAGTTATTTATCATTATTAATTAATACTGACACTTAAATTATTCTAATGAAAATTATGTTGGATATATCATTGGTTATCCAAGGGAAGGAACAAGAGGTCCCCCCAGCTAGGGGTGTAAACGAACCGAACACGAACGAACAGAACTCGTGTTCGTGTTCGGTTCCTTTGAAATTACGTGTGTTTGAAAAAGGCTCGTGTTAGAAATTGTTCGTGAAGTTACTATTTATATTCGATTTAATTTGTTTGAAATATGTTTGAAATGTTTAAAATATTTGAAATGTTTGAAATGTTCGAATTATTCAAATTGTTCAAATTATTCGGATTGTTTGAATTATTCGAAATCTTAAAAATTTGTTTGTATTGTTCGAATTGTTCGAAATCTTTCAAAAGATTAAACCTATATGAAATTAATGTTTAAACCTGTATGAATCAGAGCACAAATGCAAAATAGTCGAATCACTGCTCACAATAAAACCACAATATCGTATCTCATCCATAAAAAATTCAGATCTAGAGGCAATATGCAATATTTCACTCTCAAAAACTAGGTTTCACTCAAAGAAACTAAATAAAGCTAAAAGAAATATAAGAAAATTTAAGCTAAAAGACGAACTTGAAGATAAATATGAAATTATATAATTTAATGTAAGCTAAGAGGTGAAACTGGAAATAATATTATAATTTATATGATTTAATTTTTTAAAATACGTTAATTTTTAGAGTATATAATTATTTTTAAAATATGATAAATTTTTATATATAATTATTTTAAATTTTTTTATATTTCAAATAATAACACGATCAAATTTATTGGTATTTGATTGATTTATAGATGGAACGAAAAAGAATTATTAGTGTTGATCTGGTTTACTTATGGAACCAATGGTGCACGAACTCGCACTCCCCGGAAAGCAAGCGAACACGAACACGAACTGTTCGCGTACTACAATCTTTTTTGACAGCCCTACCCCCAACCTTGTTTCGTCTCTGTGGATTCTTTCTGCGACAAATATGAAGGACAAATCGAAGGAGACCACTCCCGCCAAGCAGAAGCCCAAATCCAAAGCACTGGGAAAGAAGCTGACTCGTAAAGCTAAGACGAAGAAGAAACTCACAGGCAAAGACCCCGCTAAGCCCAAGAAGCCCCCGACCGCCTTCTTCTACTTTCTGTGAGTCCGGTCTCACCCTTTCCATCGACGTTTCTTTCTTTTCCTTTCTTTTCCTCTGAAGACTTTCTTATAAAATGATTAGGGGGATGCTTAGGTTTAGCTTGTGGATAAAGGGAGAAACTAGTGCAGAAAATTTAATTCTAAAATTTGGCTGACTTTGTTTCTGTTTGGGTTCCGGAATGCGTTTGTCTCTTTACCGGGTGATTGGTGAGTGAACTAGAAACTGGTTTGTTGTTTATGGTTGCATGATGTTGTTGTATGATTCATTTATTCATGTTGAAATGACATTGTTTTGGATAGGGTGTATGGTCTGTTTGATTGGCACTAACAACGGGTTAGGGTTTTGCTGTTTCGAATACTTGTCTCTTCGACAACGGGCTTTCTGAAGCAAGATTTATAATGATGTGCGGCTAAGATGGTTTCAGGATTTTTTTTTCTTACTTGGATGTGTTTTCATGTTGCTAAATTTTCTTTATAAGTGAAAGTCCGGCTAAAATTGAGATGAAACATTCCTGTAAGGAATTCCTAAAAGAGATTTTACGAAGAAATCACTATGTAAGTGACATGTTGCCATATTACAGCTATTAAAATTTTGAATTTAAGATGAAAGTAACCACCCATAATTTCGACTTTGTTCCAAATGTATAAGGAGGGAACACCTGGTAAATGCATAAATCTGGATGAATAATTCCCTTTTTTTTTTTCTATTTTTGCATCCGAAACAAGCATTGATTTATAATAGAAACATATTCTTCTGTACTTACAAATTTTAATGCAGAAAGTGCTTCTCCAGGTACTTTTTGAGGCATTCCTCATCAAATTTCTTATGGGAGTTTCTTATAGGCTTCCTGGTCAAATGTGAAAAATTAACAGTTTTGTTGTTTGTATACTTTTAGGAATTAAAAAAAATTAATGCAAATAATGCCATTGTAAATTGGTCTATCAATTTTTGATTTGCCTAACAGAAAGCCATTGAATGTCCCTCATTTCTCATTGAGGATGAAAAGTCACACTGCTAACCTATCCACACTTTTAATTTAGAAGAAAAATGCTTAGGAAGATTGGAGGAACTTTCCGTGCTTCCTTGGCTAAACAAACATTCCCTAAAGGCCTCTCCAAGCATTATTCTTGGAACTTTGCCTAGTCAATTTCTTAGAAAAGGTTTTTGGCAGTAAAGCTGAATTCATATTGTTGGGATAGGGCTAATGAAGAAGAAGGTGGGATGATAATGATGATGTAGCCTTTGAGGATACTCTGTAATAAGAAAATATTAATTCAAAGACTTAGCTTTTGAAGATGATGTTTGCTGATTAGTTTTGTTAGGCTTGTTGAATTAATATTTATTAATGCAAAACATATCCCTTGGTAATTTAATTGCTGAGTTCACCTAAGAAGCTACATCCTTCCACCTTCAAATGGAATTAAAGCATTTTTTTCTTTATTAAAAATAACTATTATGATTTCTAAATGAATCTCCAAAACTTAGTTACGTTTTCAACTCTCTGATATATAATATGCTTTACTAAGGCCTATTTTTCGCAGCCCATCACTTAGCTCTGTTAGTCAACCATAGTGGTGCCATCTAATTTGGCAGCCCTGAAACTTAACTTTTTAGAGTTTTAAATTCTTCTATGCTACATTCAAATTTGTATCTGTAAAATTAATGCATAGTAATAAAGATTGGTTTAATGGCTTTCCAAGTCATATTTCTTATCTTAGTCTAGGCATGAAATGTTGCATCGTATTAATGATCTTCCTTCTATCCATGAAGTTTATAACTTTTCCAATAATTTGTGCATGATCTCAATCTTTATCTCTCCATACCCTCTCAACAAAGTTTTTTTGGTGCAAATGTATGCTCATGTTTTTTCCAGATAGTACAATAGAATTAAAAATATCATTTCTCTATTAATGGCACTTTTTCTCTTTATCTTGATAATTTTAGAATATGGAAATGTTGACAATGTTTGCATATGATGAATTTTCCATCTATTGCATCGACCAAGCAATACTTCGATCCTTGCATGTTGAAAGTGTGTAAAGAAGTGATACAATGCTGGAAGTTGGTAGTGTGCATAAAAGTGTTACGTTAGTAGCATATACTTATTTTTTCATTTGTTTCTTTGGATGAAGGATTCAATGTTTTCCAATCATGAGGTTTGTATTGCGGTCGGATCATATTTTGCTTTTACATGTCTAAATATAAAGTTGATTTTAAATTAGAAAGATGATTGACCAGGTTTTTTTTTTTTATGTTTTTGAGAGATTTTTATTTCTATTACATACAATCTTTGAAAGATTTTGAATGAGCTATAAGACAAGAGTTCAGAGTCAATAAGTTATCACTGTACTCTTAAAGGATGAAATATAAAAAATAACATCCTTGTTCATTACAATAACTTTTATTTTATTTTTTGAGATTTACTTTTTTTTTTGGGTCTTAAGGTCTAGGAAAGCTAACTTGGTTAGAAAATTGATACTTTATGTATAGTGACTAATTTAACTGCATTTGCATGAACTGGAACTCTAAAAAGAAATGAATTATTGTTAACCTGTCTTTCAATGAATAAGCAGAAAGTACAGTTAGAATCGAGGAAGTCCCCATACTTCCATGGATATACACACATTCCTTTAAGACCTCCCTATCATTGTTATTTGAACTTTGTCTTGTTAAATTGTTAGACTAGTTTTTTTTTTTGGTGATAAAGCTGAAATCAAATAGTTTTGGATGAGGCTAATAATGAAGAAGATGGTGGCTGTAATGATGATATTTTTGTAACGAGTAGCTTGTAATTCCGAGGTTTAGCTTCTGATGATCTATTTCTTATTTTTTAAAAATTGTTGAAGCTTGTTGTGCTAAGACATTTTTATTTTAAGACATTTTTACACAACAAGTATATTTTTAACATTTAATTATTGAAGCTCACCTAAGAAACTACCTGATTAGAGCCTTCGAAAAATGTAAATTTTTATTAAACATACATGTCATGCTTCCTAAACGAGCCTCCAAAACTTTGTTGTGTTATTAGTGTCTGCCATAGAGTATTGTTTATTTTAGGACCCTTATTTGGAACCTTTCAGTCAACATCAGAAGCAACCAAAGTTATACCATCTAATCTAGCATTTTTATAAGTGTTGCTTTTTATACTTTAAACTTATTCTCTGCCACATTCAATTTTGTACTTGTAAAATTAATACATGGTAATGAAGATTGGCTACATGGCTTTCCAAATATTTTTTATTCTCATAGTTAAGGCATGAAATGTTGTATTACAGTAATGATATTGCTTCTATCCAACTAGAATATCATTTTTTCAGTAATTTGTTCCATAGGATGTAGCTTATAGTATTGTAATATTAGATCTCGCGGTAATCAAATTATATTGGTATAGGCTCATGGCCTACCTAATAAGAATATCATTTTTTCTATTCATTTAATATGCCATTTGTTTAATTGACATGATGCAATTATATGCTCCAAAGCCAATTTGATATATGAGTGTTTAGGGTTAGGGGTTTTCTTTTGCAATTAGAATAATGTAATGTATGTAGATTATGTATGATAATGCACAATTCAGAGACAATGAAGCTGCTAAATAAGGCAACAATTTATTTTCTTAGAATATAAATAGTAAATACTAGAATTATTGATCTAAGCAACAATGTAATGAACAACTAAATTTGAAGATCAAAAAATTTGAAACCCGTAAAATTAGCCATTTACGTGATATGAACCAAGACAATTTTTCATAGAAATTTGGGCAAAACAAAATATTTATTTCAAGAACTCAAACAACACACTCAAATGCATAAAAGACAATCGCCTAAAATTTGAGAGGTAGACGATCTCTTCCAAGCCCTAAGCCTATGACTCAATACCAGAATTTCATGCATACCCTATCCATATGCATAATAAGTTTTATTTATATCCCACAATAATAACTAATAAAAAACTAATTTGCCCTTAGGTGCCGATGTAACAATACTCCATCCCAAAAAGCCACCTTATGTTCAAGTTGGGAAAAAATAAATTATTGTTGGATCAAGTCCTTTTACTCCCACGCGGTATCCTTATTTGACAATCCTTTCTATTTAATCAGAAATTCTTAGTGACTCTCGTGATTTCGAAATGCAGTCTTGTACACATCCTTCGACCACATTTGAACCTTTTAGTACCCCGACTTCAAGCCAATCTTGGAGAATACCGCAGTCCCAAGCAACTCCAATCACTCATCGATTGTCGTAATCTCTACCAACTTCGGATCATGTTTCTCTTCCATACTATGCAACTTTATCCAAAATTTTAGCCCTACGTTCTGAATTACCTTTTTACCATGGTATTGAGCTATTCTAAAGTCTTGCTTAAGTTGAGGTCATCACGAAGCACTATAAACTTGTCTCCCTTCTGAATACTTCACAGCCCAAAATCAATTCCTTAGAGTCTCCTTGCTCCTCCATTTCTCTCGTTACTATTATTACTCTGAATTGCCTTCCGCCTTGAAAGCTTATCAACAAAAAAGGCATTGAGGTAGTTGGATGCAGCCCTCCGCCAGGGTCCAACCATCTTGATTCCCTATTTCAGGCCGAAACAATTTGAATCAATCTTCTCCAGGCCTAACTCACATGCCGTCCCATTTCGCCCACTGTCGCTTGCCCCAAACCTCTTGATGTTGTGCATTTCTCTCCAGATGTTGTTGCTTGAATTTGCTTTCGACTCCTTTGTCGAATCTTAGATACTTCCATTCTTTCCGGTCGTTTGGATGTCATGTTAGTCTTTCCAAGTACTTCTGCTCGAGTTTGCTCCTAAGTCCTTCGTTCGATCTTGTGGCCGCCTTGAACAATAGTGTTGCCCTAATCTTGCATGAATCTTTCTGATTGATGTAGGTCGTGTTAGCTCCAGATTCCTTCGCTTGATCCTACGACTCTAGATCCGCCAAAGGCAACGATACTGCCTTGATGCCGCATAAATCCTTTGGATTGCTACCACTCGAGTCTGCTCCCAATTTCTGCGCTCGATTCTGCCCGCTTCCGTTTGTTCCCGCATTTCAAATGTCACTATTTCTTCCAAGGGTTGATGCTCGTATCCTTACCCAACGTTGTTGCTCGATCCTGCGACAGGCGGTTTTGTATGAACTTCCACTGTTTTCTTCATTATTTCTTTCAGGGTCATTAACCTCCCATTTATCCTCCCCTCCATAAACGAGAGCTATCCCTCCATGGACGAGAAACACTCCATGTTCAATCTGATTTGGCTCACCTTTCTCTTTAATTTCTTCTCTAATGCATTTATTTTCTTGCCCGCTATTACTCTTCTTATGATTTTGGAACTTAATTAATCCTGTCATTGCTTCCCCACTGTCTCAAATCACGACTGTATCACGGATTGGAGGCTTCCTGATTGTCTCAAATTGCGACTTGATTGTCATGATCCTGTCATGGCCTCTGTATTCCGCTGCAATGCTCCCCAGCTAGCTCTAGTCACGCCATGATGCTTCCTAGCTAGCTCCTATCATGTCTTCACACCTTTTGTGGCTTAGTGATCCCATCGTCACTTTCCAGCTAGCTCTTATCGCGACTATATCCAATGGATGCAACGCCTGTTGTCGTGATCTTATCGGTTTTTGCTTCCAGATTGATCAGATCGACCGTTATGTACAATGCAATCCCTCTTCCCACTACCATTCTGATCCCTTGTTGGCTTCCCAGGCATGACTCAGTCCATCCTTTGAGTTCCCAAGTGCGATCCTTTCTTTGCATCAATCAAAGAGTCGTGATTTCTGAAGCCTTGCGTGGCTTGATCCTTCCACACATATTAGGGCAATACAAGTTCACTCTCTATAATTGACCATGCTTCCAAAAATCAAGTTCTCTGATACCAATTTGATACGAACCTCCGTAAAAATTAGGGTCAAATAAAATATTTTTTATTGATGACAAGAAACACGCAACTCAAATACATAAAGATAAGCATTTGTAAGGTGATATCTCCCAACACCTGCAATTCGGGCAATTTGATACGATCTTCCATAGAAATTAGGGCAAAACAAAATATTTTATTTCAAGAATCCAAATGACACACTCAAATGCATAAAAGATAAGCACTTATAATTTGAGAGGTAGGTGATCTCTCCCAAACCCTAAACTTAAAACTCAATACCCCAATCTCAGGCATACCCTAACCCTAAGTATTAATAAACACTATTTATACCCACAATAATAATTAATAAAAGATTAAATTGCTCTTAGGTGCCGGCATAACACTATTATAATTTAATCTCCACAGGTAAATTTTTTGTTGTCTCAAACTTGAACAAAATCAAGGACACTAGCAAATTAATAATAAGTTATGCAGAAGAAATTAGATCAAAGCGGTAAGCTATCAAAGTAAAAAATTTAGATCTTTTCGATACGAGGAGATGATTTCTCCCAAATTAAGTAGTTGCTTTTGTATCGTATTTAAAGGAATCATACTTACAGCTCATATATATAAGATTGAAAATTAGTTGAAGAAATTTTATTCAATCGAAGTTCAACATGTACATGCCTCAGAACACCTATTTGTAGGGTCACCCTCCCTGGATTAATTGGTATGGTTGGCAGATGATTAACCTAATTTGGTTTCAATCCATTCAAAATGCAAATTGAAAAAAGTCTCAATTTCTTATATCCACACGGCTAAATGTCGACCATCTGATGATCCGATTAGAATAGTAGATGTTTTAGATTGGACTTATGTTAAGAAAGGCAGAGGTAGACCTAAGATGACTTGGGCATATTATATAAAAAAATGATCTTAATTTATTAGAACTAAATGAAAATATGACTCTAAAGAGGATGCAATGGAGAAAAAAGTATTCATGTAGCCGACCCCACTTAGTGGGATAAAGGTTTTGTTTTTGTTCAAATATCCACGCAATAAGAAATTCAAGATATACACTCAATCTTCAGATGCTATGAAATGATTGCTCAGCACTCTTCTACTAAGTTGTCTTTTACAATTTGCCCCATTATTGCAGGCCATTCTTATACAGTATTTTTCACCCCCTACACTAATTAGTATGAAGTTTGTTTTATGACAACGATATTAGCGTGTAAGTTGGCTTTCCAATCTAATTTTCTGATGTAATATTCGAAGAAGATAAAAAATATTGTGGTTTCAGTGACATGCCTGCACCAACCAGAAAGTTTTGTTTTATCTAGGCTGGTGATCTTCCATTTTTTTCTTTTGCTTATTGCTCTTGTATTGGGGTTCACCTCTTTTTTTCCTTCAATTAGCACAAACAGAATATTAAGAATTGCATCTTTATTTTTATTTTTATTTTTTGTTTTTTCATAACATGGAATCCTTTTATTCTTGAAGGGAAGATTTTAGGAAGACTTACCAAAAAGAGAACCCAGATGTAAAATCAATGTGTGAAGTATGATTTACTATTCTTGTGCTCAAGCATTAAAATTTCTTTATAGCTTTTCTTCTATATGATACGAGAATATATCCTTTCAGATTGGCAAGGCGTGTGGAGAGAAGTGGAAAACTATGACTTATGAGGTTAGTTCATATTTTAGTCGCTCCACATTGGAAGAATGTTTCATTTCATTTACCACAAAGTGACACATTTTGTTTGTGCGCATCATTTCCATGTGATTGGATTCCTTTGCTTTAGTAGGGGGATTAAGAATTCAGAATATTGTCTGATAATACAAACATGCTCTAGTCAATTATAACCAAAGAAACTTGGTTGACTCCCTTTGTCTTTTTTATAAATTGGCATCAGTTTGGCATGGAGCTATATATAAATTGTAATTTTTTATGACATAGTGTTGGTAGTTCATTATTTGCTGGCTCCCAGGCAAAGATTTTCTTGGTGAACAGGAATCCTATAGGAAAAAGAAAAGTCAAAGCATAGCGAACAGATGAAAACCTCGGTTGATCATGACCCCCATGTATAGTTGACATTTATTAGAAATATATGATAATAATGGTTTTTAACTGTTGCTAAATATTTCAAAAGTATACTGTGCTTGCGGATCTGTGGACCTATGGCACAAAATAGATCTGATTGTATTATTGAGATATTTGATTAGCCTAGGCATCAGGGCTGGCGCTGCTGCAGTTTTAGGATAAGGAAATCAATAATACTTTAGGAAACAGGAAAATAGGTTCCCAAACATAGGCAAGATGTTTTCTTTTGCTGAACTCATGGAAAACTGACACCGTTCAAATGTTGAAATTATTAAACTATGATGACCTTACACAATAACAATAGTCCAAAATGTAAAGTATTATAAGAATCTTAATGATACGCCACCAACAAATTTCCATCAACCGACATGGATCTCAAAGCATAGACGAATCTCGTGGTAATGTTTTGAGCAATTGTCGTTCAAACTTCAATTAAAAGTCATCTTGAACTTTAATTTCAACAAACTACAGTCAAACTGACCGGCTTAAAGAGACAAACCCAACAAGACCAAAACTAGTTTAATCCGAGTCAGATTAAGCCCAAATCAAGCCACTAAAACACTTTTGAAAGTTTTCCAGGCATAATTAGAAGGTCAAACAAATTCTAAATCTAGCGAACTTATAGCAAAATCGAGTGTCTCGAGAAGATGAATCCAATGAACCCAATGTTGCTCAATTTCAACATTATTAAGACACTCAAATATCCGTTGAACACCGTCTGATCAAGAAGATCTTTTTGGGCAATCCGATTAATGAGGTCTGGATTCCTTCCTTATTTGGATCCTTGACTCTATAACTAGAGTCCTAGCCCCTCTTAAGGTGGGGACTAGATCTTAAGCAAGAAGAAGGCTAGAGCCTGGAGATAAGGGAGCTGAAGTTTAGAACTCTGTATTGACGATCCGACGAACACCTACTTCTATAGTCGTCAATCACAATCGACTATCACCCGCTAGCCACTATTGACTACCATCAGCCGCTGCTGCCTTCGCCTCCGACCAACGCCTCCTCCAATTAACTTCAACCGTTGTCTCCTCCTTCCAACTTAGATCGCTGCCACCTCTGCCACCACCTTCGACTAGCTTAGGCCGCCGCCTTCGTCTAGCTCAGGTTGCATCCTCCAGTCAACTCTGACTGCCATCCACTCCTTGCAAAGAAACACTTTGAGAAGCAACCATGGACACTGTGAAATCGTGAAGCTACTTACGAAGCGATGCATCATCCCAAACATTGTACCGACCCTGAAGACGATGCTCCAAAGCTTCAACAATTACTCTCCGCTTCTACCGCTCTATACCACAGGGCAACAAGCTCTTCCATCCACCGACTTTGTAACTCGTGAAACTGTGTAACTATTTCCTGCAAAAGGGATAAGGGGCTATACTTGTAATCACTAATTCGTAGTGAAACATTTCAATTGGGCAAGACCCTTTTTTTTTCTTTCCTCATTTTCGACGTAAAAACTTCTAGTTTCCCTATTTGTTATATTTGTTCCTCTAAGTGTGTTGGATTCTCGTACAACGCTAAGACAATTTATTTATTTGGCGTCGGGAAAGTTCTAATGCATATCGGTTTGATGTCGTCTGTGGGTAGTTTGCAATCCAGTACTGAAGTACTTGCGAACCTTGCTGCATGGCCACCCAACGCAATGTTCGCAACAACGGAGCATCCCGCTCCAACACCTATCATTCCAGGGGACGGTCATGGAGCCAAGGATGTTAGGTGACCAAAGAAAAATATGTTGAGATTTTCATACCTATTTTACACTGATTTTGATGATATTGCACTTTAAAGAAAGATATTTTTGAGTTTTGTTGCAGATATGTTGAATTATGGTCATTAGAGCAAAAAGATGCAAAAAAGATGCAAAAATGAGCGAATTTGGAGCAAAAATGATCAAAATATGAAGATTTGATCTTGGACGCCGAGGACGGGTTTTTCCCGAGAGTCCAGAATTAAATATTCTAGAAGCACG